TTTCTGTCAGTTTTGACCCAGTGTTTTTCTTTTTTTTCTCTTGTTACCTGGTATTAGCACTGGATGACGCGAAGAAACGACTAGTGAGCCAGAGAGATATCGCTTTGCTGGCATAAAACGAACAGTTATTAAGAACTCGTTCAGAGAAGCTGCCAGGTCCTTACTTAGGGTATTCTCCATACCTTTTTTTCTGCTTTTTTTCCTAGAGGTCATCTAGCGACTGCAGGTCTGAAATAGAACGCCACTGTCAACAATCTTTCAGGTATGTAGGAGTTCCATTAGTGATGCTAGTACGGAACTACAGTGAGGAATCTTTATAGTTTATGCTCCCAGCATACTAAGTCGCCCATGAATTCAAAACTTAACAAACCTGTTGATCTGATCCATTACGAGCTGACGCGCCAGTATGAAAAACTCTGGAGGGAAACCATAACTTCGTTCAGAAGATCGTTCCGCTAATTTTGAAAGCGGATTTGAGTACATCGTTTGGAAGACGCCCTACTCTGATGTACATTTCTTCTTGGGTGGTCACGGTACTTTCCCTTACAAATTATGAATGAGGGGGAGGCCGATACATCCGGTCAATAATGCGACATCACCTGTTAGAGGATCGGGGGCACACTGCGTGGTAATAGAGGATAGTGCGCCTGAAAGGGCAAAAATCAGCAATGCAAAACAGATTCCAACTATTCAGACTTGCCCTGCCCCTGTGCGAGCATTCCTATGAAATACTGAGCTTAGGTGCTTAACTGCTAATTATGCTTTTTATCTCCAAGAAGAGCTAGATCTCGTCAGAAACTTAGTGTTATGCACCATTTGCTTATAATCCCCTGAGCAACACCTGCATTGTTTATAGCCCAATAGATGCGCAGTAATGCCCTAGCTGCATAATGTATCGTGAACCCGCCATTCCCTCAGAAGAGTCTTGTCTTCCTTTGTTTTTTCTGCTTTCGGAGGTCGCATCAGCAGGGTGCTAATATCTATAAACTCAATTCACTAAGAAATAAACAAGTATCAACGAGAATGGAAAAATAGCGCTGTCGCTATAGGACATTCGCATATTGTTACTCTCTAGGGCGAATCATAACTGCGGAAGGAAGGTATGGGCGTGACCTGCATTTACCTCAAAATAACGCGAAGTGCTTTCAGTATATTCACTCAAGACTAACTGCCATGCTTGTCTGCGATGAAAAGACATACTGCGGCTGGTTCCAAACCGACAATTCTCCCAGAAGTATTAGCCCACCCTACATGCGTAAGGAGAAACGTAACTGGTCTAAAATGTGTAAAGGCTACGTAGTGGGAAGCATGCGAAAAATCCGAAGATGAAACGGCCAAAAATCTGCGCCAAATAAAAGCTCTAATCTTCAGACTCAGAAACAGTTTCGGACGAGTTCCCGTGCATCGTCACAATGACCGGTGGTAGCATATGTTATCATTATTTTTATCATACATCCATGCAGGCCACAGCGATACGCTTCGTATCGGCTCCTCCCAACTTAAATTCCGCATCAGTCGACTGTTTGTCGGGCGAGCGTCGGTGGGCGTCCGATCGTTATTTGCAGACAAACGAGGGCGCTACAAGGGCACCCCATTCCTTGGAATAGGCGCCACGCGGCGCCTGCTCAGAAAAATCCTGACCTGCTAGGCCTATCAATCCTGCAGGTCTGAGGATTTACTGAGGCCACTTCCCTTTAACTCTAAGGAACGGTTCTCCGAATGGAATCTATGAAAAATGCAGTAGTAATATGATGTATGCGAGCCGAATGACAGCCCTGTTCCAAGTTCGCGCGAAAGTTTACGTTTATAGGAAAAAGCTAAAGTTCTTCAACTGTTACAGTCCCTTTCCAAAGTGACTCGCCTCCACAATCCGCTCTCCAAACTTCGGCCTTTCCAACCAAAAGTAAGCTCTCGAGGTCAAGTATTCATGAAAGTGGATGCATTCAATGTCCTGTAAGTTCACAGGTCACTACTCTGGAATCACGCGAAGGAATATCTTCCAGCGCGCGCGCGTTTTCGGTCTTCTACCTCTTTGCAGTTGTTCTGAGGCTAGAGAGCCTGAGTGGCGTTTCCAACGCTTCCTTTGGCATTCTCCCCAATTAGAACGGCCTCACTCGCGAATTTCTTCCACATTTTGCCAACATCGAAGCAGGAAACCTTTATGCGGACCGTGCCTTCAAATGCGTAGAAACGCTTTCCCCATCTTCGCGGTAAAGAGCGTGGATACATTCTGAACACTTGCACTTTTTCGGAACCTGTAAACCTTCTGCTGAGACTGTGAAATGGTGCGAGCAAGCCACCTTTGGTCACAGAAACTTATAGATCTTCACAAGGTCCCCTTCCAAGCCGAACTGTGCCAAAAAAACTGCTGACAAAAAAGGAAGGGGCCGGTTGTCAAGTAGGGAGACCACGAAGTTTTAGAGCGTTGGCCTCTACGCGGTTCCCCACGTTGCTGAATCACATTTTCGTTTATAATCGTATTCACAAAAACACCTGTCATATATCATAGCAATCATTTCCGCGTACTGTTTACTCGACATCCCACCATAATAAATACCCCGTCAGTTCGTTTTAATCCATCATTTATTCAGTCACTACTTTTCTCTCGGTCGCTCATCTTTTGATACTTCTCTCACTTTTTTCTCGACGATAACGTAAGGCATAGATCAGCTGTCAGTATGTTCCCCGCTGTAATAAAAGCAACAGAGAACCGCGCAATCGCTTCCACTGGTCCAGAGTGATTTCCTCCTATGGGGGAAATGACTCTTTCTGAATTTTCCCCTATGATCTACTATTCGTATAGTCTATATATGTAGAAAGTTTAAAGTAACTTCTATACAATTCTTTCGAACTGTACTGTTATAACTGTTGTTGTAATTGTTTATTGCCCAGGTACTCCTGTTTGGTACTGCTAGGACAAACCCGTAAGAAACAGCAGCAACTTTAACATTAATGACATTAACGATGTGTGACAATTAGACAATCAGGACAGGTCCTGGCGTTGGGAAAAACCCTCCCTTTCCTTCTATCAAGCGACTTCCTTTTCTGGTACATCCCCCCTCTTTCTCAATCTTCTCAGCTCCATACCACTTTGTGTCGTCTTTTTTATTCGAAAACACTGGTTTTTTCCCTCGAAAAACGAGAGCTGCTGTCAAGCGGGTGAGGGGGGGGGGCGCGGGTGCCTAACGCATTTGAAACAGGCAAAACCGAGAAATAAACCCGCTGAAAAGCATTTTTTACATGGGCAAATACGGCTCCCCTCCCTTCCTCTAGAAGCCGAATACGACTAGGGTACAGCATCGCTGTGTGAAACACATGGGAAGGTCGTACGTACTTGGCTGCTGGAAAGGGGGGAGGGGTCGTATTTAGTCGTTGCTGGGAGAGGGAGAGGGGGTCGTATGTGCATTTGTGAGAAATTTGCGCGTTGGTAAGAAATTTCCCGGTTGTTGACTTTTCGCGATTTCCCCGCCCCCTGAGTTGGTGGCGCCACCGAGACCACCCCCCCCCCCTGCTCAACGGAAATTTTTGGGTGAAAAACTGGAAAATGTGGGAAATTTCGGAAAAACTGGTAGGAAGCTGGGAACTTGTAGGAAAGTGGTAGGTAGGTGTTGGGAAAGGGGGAGGGGGGGGGGTCGTACTGACACCACCATTTCACACATCACGATGCGGTACCTTGAATACGACGCACGACGCTGAGGATCCCAATGTACGACGTATACTCGAAATCCCTGAGATCGGGTAGGCGTGGCTGCATGCTTCAACTTAACCTGAAGGAGTCTATGCTTCTGGTGAGATATTTTCATCTTGACACAATTGTTGTCGTGTCTCTGTCCAACACAGAACAAGATGACAGTTGTCCCAGACTGGAATATTCCACGAGTAACCAGTTCCGTGCCATGTTCAAATGCCACGCCTACTTGACTCAGGGATAAGGAGTGTACCTTAATGACAACCAGATCACGTTCTGCCGTTGGGGAAAAGCTTACAGAGTAGGAGCTCCTTACCTCTTTAAATTTTTTTTTCCTCTGACACGCTCCCCCCCCCCCCCTCCGCCCTTTCCATTCTCGGTTGCTTCTCCTACCACCTTCCTAAACTTTACTCTCACAAGTGCGCCTGTTTCGGTGTTCTTTCGAGAACTCTGCCATTACTTCTCTCTCTCTGAAAAATGCTCTTGAGGCTCTTAAAACAGGATAAACTAAGAGTACCGCCCCTGCTCCCTTCAGCGACCAAACACAACCCCTCTTCGCTAGAGATTCCAAACGGACGACGAGCCATGGTAACAGTGTAAGGTAACAAGTAAATCTTGCATTAGATGGGAGAGAGCGTTCCGGCGCCTTGAGTTACCTTGAGAATAGCGCTCCAAAGTGCTTTAGGGGATGATTAGCCCTAAACTGATGTTAAGTAAATGTTTTCCTATCATTATGTGATCCGCTAGGGTGTAGTGAAAAGCCATTGACGGATGGGACGTTGTCGCCGACACCTAAACCTGATTTCACCGGCGATCGTCATTTCTCACTAGTACACCTCATACAGCCTCCCTTTTTACATCATACAAAGGGACTGATTCCTTTAAACTTTTCATTCCTTTCTCATTTTATTTTTCCTTCATTTTGGCTCACTACTTGGCCCTTGTCGAGCTTGACTTCCACGGGCTTCTACTGCTCAAAAATCAGTCTTTTTTTGCAGGCTCTCAAGAGATCACCGTTGTCGTTGTTCCTCATTTCCACCAACACATCTTTTGGACAGCTGTTATTTACTCAACGTCTCAATCGTTTCCACAGACAGTCCACTCAACACAATGAATTTACTCAGACTTTTTATTTGATCACGAAGAAAAGTTTTTGTATTGTCTCTCTATTTAGACGGATAGGCTCTCTCTCGTTTCCCCACTTCACCTCGTTCTTTAGCCCGCTGAATTCTTTATTTTTCTTCGTTCCTGGTTTTCACATTTCTTTTTTCATTTTTCTCCACTTTCCTTCCCTTACATAAGCGAACTACAGATGAAGAAGAAGACAGCGAGCACCGATGGCCTCAAGTGTCTCTCATCAAGAACCAGATACATAGTTTTATTTTTAGGTAAGACTTCCATACTCGCTGATTTTTTTTCGATTTTGAATATTTTCGATGCTCTTAGTGACCCCTACTTGGTCTGTCATTTGAAAGCCCGAAATATTCTCATCTTCGGCCGTTTCTGGGATGCGCCACGTATTATTGTTCCATCTAGACTTGCAGCGTCGCTGAGAATGCGATATGGCTCACATTGTGGCTTAGGGGCAGGGCACGTCAGACTGAAGATCCCCAAGGAAGAGAGCCGATATGGTCGCTGGAGAGAGAAGGGGAAAACGGTCTTACTTTCCTCAAGGAAAAAATGTTTCCAATCGTTGACATCTCTTGGATTTCCCTTTGTCAAGTGTGCTCCAGACTTTCCCTCTCTCCGCTCGACGGAAGTTTTTGTTTGAGAGAAGGTGAAAAATTTTCTGGAAAAAAATCCGCAAAAGTGGTAGGAAGTTACGACTCTGAAAGAAATGGGGGAAAGTTTGGAAAGCTCAGTAGATTGGAGGGTAGGATAGATGACGGAGAAGGGGTCGTGCCAGGGAAGGAATTCCCAGGGGGGGGTATCCATGCCAAATTTTCCCCGAACTGCAGGACGTGTCCTGCTTGCGGGGACCAGCCGTCTCTCAATGCTTTATCCTCCCAGGCAAATTCGCTAGTATAAAGCGGACATCGTAGAAATCTACCCAGAGGTAACTCCAACCCATAATCGGTGAGGAGTCTGACACCCTCTCCCTACTGTGGGCATAGTGGCTAGAGCCAAATATGACGCTAATAACTGGTATTTCAACTGAACAGTTGAATGTTTGGAATTTCGTCCTCTGTTCCCCATATATTGAAAGGCAGCATTAAAAGCTTGTTGGAAAGCGGGGAATTTTTTTAAATTGTTTTACATTATGTGGCTACATAGGAAACTGAATTTGGGAGAATAGTTTCCTTGATCGGTTTCCTTCGTAGTTCATGTGTGTCCTTTTCCATTGAAAACCGCAGTGGAATTTGGAATGTATTTGGGTACTGGCATAAGGTGGTATAGTGAGAAGTGCTCACTACTCGCGCAGTTCTGGGTTCAAATCCCAGGTCGACTCCCGCCCAGGCCAACCAAGCCTTCTACCCTCCGGGGACGGTAAATTGGTACCAGATTCGTCTGGGAGGATAAAACACTGACTTGTACATCGGCTGGTCCCCTGGACCCTCAAAGTTTTGGCTGACCCGAGCAGGAGGAGACTGGGCAAGACAGACCCTCGACCTCTCCATCAAAGACCTGTAAGTTGAGGATCCCTAGCGTGGGGGTCGTTTGGTCGCTGAAGGGGCGGATTTCAATTGCTCTGAGGAAAATGTTTTCGGTTGCTGACTTCGTCGATTGTTCCCGTTTTGGGCGCATCAGAAGAAGGAAATTGAGGATGAACGTCCCATTTTGCGAGATTCTTTCCCAGACGGCGGGACGTGCCGGAGGTTTGGTCCCACCTCAACTACTTTCTCTATTCCAGGTACATAGTTGGAATGAGCATCCCTTGACGCGTCGTTCGTTCATTTGAGATGCATTTACTGTAGCGTCTAGTAGCTGTAGCGCTCAACATTTGACGAATTAAGCAAATTATTATTACCTTGTTACCGTAGCTACCTCTTAGTGTTAAGAGATACTCCCCATTGGAAGCGTATTTCTGAGACTTTTTTCCTTTCAGGATCAGCATGCATAGCATCGATAGCGTCAAATATGATTGTTCTAAATTTCACATTAATTTGCATGGGTACGGAATATAATGAGGTTTGTCCCACATGAATATTTCTACCAATTTATGAATAGTTCCGTTCAAACTATCAAATTTCCAGACTAATCCGATGACTGCCGACAATCGAGGGCCGTACGACTACACACAGTCTGAAAAATCGTACCTAATGTGGGCAGTGGCCATTGGGACCCTGCTGGCCGCATGGCCGTTTCACTGGTGAGTACAGGGAGAGCACCGTCAGATTCGCCAGTAGCTAAAGCTGTGGAGAAACTGTTCTGTTCCAATGAGTACCAATGATTATTTCGATTAATAGGGCCTCCAAAATAGTCAAATTATCCTGTTGTTATTCTAGTAATCGACCTAAGTTGCCTAGTTTTTTTCACTTTTAGCCTAGTAGAATCCTCCTGAACCCTGCAATGGCGCGAGATTAACGAGAATGAGTAGAAAATTAGGTCCCTAAAAATGAGGTCTGTGCGAAATTTTGTGTTCACGATCCTTCCCAGCTGATGAAAAAATTGATTTCCAGTGCTGGAAGTACAGCTTTCCTGTATTTATCTCACAACCAAACCGTTCACCATTTCTTTTATGCTCGGTACACATTGCTTCTCCAAAGGTGGATCCTTTTTTCAGGAAAACTGTACCCCGTTTTCCTTGATTTTTACCTCCAGCATCGCCTATTTTAGCAAACACCCTCTACGGAATAATTTCCATCACTCCCTTGTTCTACCTGCATCCTGAGCTCCCTTTTGACGACCATTCCCGGTCTCTTAACCGCCTTTTTAAACTCAGGGGCCTTCGTACGCTAGAGAAACCGCCCAAACGAGAGGGCGGGCTAAGTCGCTGGAGGGAAGAGAGTCGTATGTGCTTCTGAGAAAAAATCTTCTCGTTTTTTGACTTTCTCTGTTTCTGCTAGTATAACAGCATTGTATAGCCCCCATGCCCAGCTTTTTGGAGAAAAGCTCCAAAAAATAGTAGGTTGTTCGAAAAAGTCACTAAGGCGGTATACAGTAGGGAACGGAGAGTAGGGGTGGTGCCAGAAGAGGAAATTTGTGGCGGGGGTCAGCAATTTTCAATTTGTTTTCTTGACTTTTCCACCGTAAAAGGGGTTCTTTCTAGGCTTCACCCATTTCAGCGCATGTCTTACTTTCCTTGACTTGTCCGACTGTCCTGTGAACAAAGTGCGAACTTTTCCGGTCCGTTCTGGCGAATGCCTTACCAGTGAGAGCTGATCCCCGATGGAATTATGCTGGTGCCAGTTGACGGGCTCAAAGTGTTTCCGAACATCTGGGCCCGTCAACTGGCTCCACTTTTGGAAAATTTGGCAAAATAGATTCCTCTTTAAAGTTCCTGAAAAGTCCTGGAATGTTAGGCAAAGTACGACTCGTCTCCAAGTTTCCTAGAAAGTTGGCAAAACACTACTCCTCTTCCTCAGATTTCCTCCTCTGGCACAACCCTACTTCTTCATCCCCCATCCTCAAGGCTCTTGTTAAGAAAAGCCGTTTGGCGGCCTCATCAGACTCTCGACTTAGCCGCTTATCCAAGAATCTTTTCTGCCTAGCTATATATTAGGGTACTACAGTATTACATCGTGATTCCTTTTATCAGTCTTAGGTGAGAAAAACCAGAAACTCCTCAGAGATAGACCATTGACGCGCGAATGATGCCCAACTGAAACAGATGATGACGTTTTCTACGTCATAGCGTTAATAGTAACAACGACTCGTTCAATAGCGAATCATTGATCATTCGGTGACACAAATATGGCAGCGAAAAACCGGATGAAACCTTTGTCCTCTCAACTTTGTGGGTATTACCCGCTCACAACACGTGGCGCAGTAAATTGCCCCTATCATAAAGAAAATCCGCCTCAGACAGGGCAGTGGCGTTTTATAACCTAGAGGGGCACAAAAATGGAGCAGAACTGCCGTATTACCCTCATATTCAATGTTTCAAAAGCATAGGGTAATATTTTCGTCAAATATAACCCCAAAAGAGTAAGAAGTAAGACAAGTAGGTGCGAGAGGCCTGCTTTTCATTGTATTTTCATGTATTTCCCTAAAGTTTTCCTGAAATGCCATCTCAACTACACTCGTTTTCGCTCCTGACACTGAGGCGTGTCAGGGGCTGGGCGGCGCCACCCCCTTCTCCTTCAATCGTTGAAGCGGGCGAACGACCAGGCAGCACGATGTGGAAAATTGGCCGCGCCTCCTAATATTTTCCGCGCCTCCTCATCCCTTTTACACCATCCAAGCTAGGAAACACCCTTCATGCTCAACGGACCCGTTCACCATTCAACCTCAAAAACACGCTCCACGCCCAACGTAGATGATGGATTTTTGGTCAGGGCACATCGTTGTTGGGCCCAGTAGGGGGGTCGTATTTGGTCGCTTGGAGGGTGGGGTCGTAATTGGGAGAAAAAAATTTTTTGTTTATAATAAATTTTTTTTGTTTCACGGACGTTGTAAAGTGGGGTCGCATTTGTTCGTTAGGAAGGGGGGGGGGATTGTATTTCCCTTCTCAAAGAATTGACTGACTTTTCGTGATTGTTCCTGTTTCGTATGTGTTATATACCCCTCTCTTTCCCTCCTTCGACTCGACAGCAAATTTTTTGGAGAAAAGGCAATTTTCGGGAAATTCCGGGAAAAGTGGTAGGAAGTTGGGGAAAGTCTAAGAAATGATAGAAGGGGGAGGGGGAGGGTTGTATTTTCCTCGCAGCTTTTCCCGTTTCACATGTGCTATCTACCCTCCCTTCCCTCACCGCGTAATAGGTGCTCAGTCATGAACCAATAACCCATAGCTCGACAAGGAGGGAACTAAGGGGGGGGGGGGCGCACCAACCCACTAACCCCCCAAGTAAAAGGGGGAGGGTCGTGCGGACTCGACCAAATTCCCCAACTAATGATGTGCTCTGTTTTTGACGCTGAGGATATTTTTCTCAAGCTCAACTACCTGCTCTTCACGACTATGTTTGTATATTTGGCCCACGAAATAATACGCTGGGCTAAATGTCTAGCTCATGATGTGTTGTATAAGCTCAATATGCTCTATGCCACCCTGACAACAAGGGCTATTTTTTTATCATATTCTGATTATATCGGGTCAGACTGGATTATCGTGATTAAGCGACCAGGGACTGAAATGCGCTGAACCTTCCTGTTCCAGTAAGCAGAGAGTGAAACAACAGTGACAACGGTAATTTGAACAGGGTGACATATTCATGTGAAAAAGTGTTCGACAGAAAAACGCTTAGATCGAAAAGAGTTAGTGATTATCGTTAAAGACAATTCCCTCGATCAAGTGTTACCAGTAGCCACCAAGTAACTCGTTAGTAGAGAAAGATGCGGAAAAAAAGCTTGGAGACACTCTGGACCCAACTTTAGCAGTAGGGCCGGTGCCTTGGGCGAGTTTGTCGGGGGTTGGAAAGCCGAATCAGCCAGCAGGATGCGACGTGCAGCCGATTCCGCGCAAGAGCACAGGAAATCACCCTACGACGCTCCAGGCAACGCGATGTACACCTGCAGCTCTGCTTGTAAGCGGTTGCCTTGCAGAGTGAAGGTAATTGTGTTTGCAATGGTTGCAATAAGCACGCGTCTCT